TAATACCGTCCCTGGTCCTCCATTGAAATCCATTTCGCCCCTCGTAAACATGTGATAGCGAATTATTCAGCAGCGATCCGTTAAATTACCGTCAAATGATTCTGTCGATGGCCGTTAAGCCTTTTCGACTTTTCCAGGAACGAAGCGCGTATTCTCGTTTTATTTTTTCGAAACGGGCCGCGGATCTCGAACCATCGAGAATTTCGTTCAGTGCCAAAATATTTGAACACACATCAACACGCCTTTGATAAAAGAATCGCGCGATTTTTGTTGCTAGCCGAACTTTCACCAACAAATATGTCTTCGTTCGAGTCGTTTCCCTTGCTTCGACGAATTAAAAATATTCTAATGAACCAGAGAACACTGTATCTCATCTCGCAAATGAATAATCAACGAAATGTATTAATTAGTCCCAAAGGACTGTAACATTCGTTTCGAATTAATTATCTTCGTGAAACTAATCCAATAACTCGAGCGAAGATCATCACGAAGAATTTTACAAGCGCGGAGATGTCGCACGACCGAACAAACTAAACGAACTTGTTTAAAAGGCAAGTTTAAAAGCGCTGCTTTCTAGAAAATTTTCCGGAGATATTTTTCCGAGGCTTCCCAAGGAATGGAATTACAGACGAGAATATTTTGCCCGTAATCTGCATAATGACGACGAGAAAAATAAAAATGAGCGGAGCGGAGGAAACGGCGACAGTCGAAGGATGTTGCGTTCTACCCGGTAATGTGACTTTCCGGTTGATATGTTACAAGATGGGAACCGATGATATACGTGGAATTATGCAGCACGCCCTTGGATCGCGGTGAAACATTTGGGTGGGTTAAAATCATAACGGGTAAATCACATTGTCGAATATGTTGACTCATGTCTTGAAATGTAATCTATACGTGTCGAAGTGTTACAAAGACAAGTGAAATAAGCTATGAATTATTTATTACTATATATGTAGCACTAATACAGGGTGTCCCAAAAATATCTCGTAATCCGGAAATGGCGAGTTCCTGAGGTCATTTTTAGTAACTTTTTCCTTAGCGAAAATGCAATCCGCGGCTTTGTTTACGAGTTATTAACGAAAACCAGTGACCAATGAGAGGCGAGATCAGCTAGCGCGAGACGGCCGAGCCAATGAGCGGAACTGGGATCCGTGCGCTCGTTGACTGGACTGCCTCGCGCCAGCCGAGCTCGCCTCTCATTGGTCAGTGTTTTTTGATAATAACTCGTAAACGAAGCCGCGGATTGCATTCTCGCTAAGAAAAAAGTTACTCCAAATGACGTCAGGAACCTCCATTTCTGAATTGCAAGATATTTTTGGGACTATACTGTGTGTCAATTTCTGTTCACTGATCTAATTACTGTGCTTCAATTACTGTGATCAATTCTAGGTAAATAATCTTACAAGAAAAATACGAGTAGCGGTTGTCTACCTTCGATTTCCTTTAAAATGAAGCCGTCGCTAACATATCCAACCATGGACACCATGGAGAAGAAGCCAAATAGCCTATGAAAACGTAAACCGTCGCAGGTTTTCGTTCAAAAACCGTTCGAAATCCTTCTCGAAACCCGCGCGGACGATTCTGAATATGTTTTTGAAACTGTTTCGAGTTTCCGGTTTATTGGAGAAAGCTTTGACGTTCGCGGAGCTTTATTCGCAGGAAAATACATGGTTTGCTCTTGTAACGGCCGTATTGTTTCGGCATTAATTAATTCCGATAATCGCCGCTAATGAATTACGCGTGCAATAATGTTTGGCTGCTTTCGGAGCGGAAGAATTTGGTGGAAATATTTGTTTGGTCCCCTGTTGGCTTGTTATCAACGAATTCTCTATATGTGTGCTTTCACGGCGCGTGTAGTTTTTTCAACATGCAAGCAATTAGCATTTTGATTTCATTTCTATGACGAGCAATTCCTCAGTTGACGAGGCAAACTTTTCTTTCGTTCTAATTTTCGCGAACGAACGAACGACAAACGAGAATTGCAAGACGAATCTCTCGCGAGATTATCCGAGAAAAATCCACCGAAGACTGGAACATTATCTCTGACGCTGCAGCATACGAAAAATGCATCCGGTCAAAAACATATGCAACTTCTGCGATCACTTGCAACGAACGATCATTCTATTTCGATGAAAATTGAAATATCTCGCGCAAGATAGTACGCACAAAATGACCCCGGCGAGACAAGCTCCGGATTAGAACATCTTCTTCGCGCCGTTGCAGCATATCGATAATCGCATCAAAACGAACGGGCGCAACTACTCCGTGAAAACAAGACTATGCATCGTGCAACATCGGCTGCAAGAAAATGAACAGCCGAGGACCCGAAGCCGGTTAATTCCGAATCGGTGCGCGATCGGGCAAATCGGATGACAGAAGAAACGGTTGGATGATCCTAAATTCTAATCAAAGCGTATTACCTTTGGCGTCTAATGCAGGTGCGGATCGGAACGATCGAGGAGATCGACCAATTGAGCGCCGCCGCGGCGTGTCGACACGCTCGCTGAATTCAGCGTGGAAAATCGGTCAGTCGGGTTATTCGATCTCGTAAGATCGTGTGTTTATTAATGCCCGAGGAACGAACGGGATCTGGCAGACGGTCTGGGCTGATGCACGGCATAATAACAAGCGTTCCTGGCTGTCACTCGGAGAGAGAGGCAGGGATACTGGCAACCCGGCCAGCCAAGGGGAAACCGTTCTAACGAGCGCATTTCCCGTGCGTCTAGCTCGACGTTCGCTTTATCGTCGCGAAAATAACCCGGACCCGTTCGTCACCGGTGCACGGGATCCCGTGTTTCGAATTTTCGGAATAGTTGCATCGTTACCACCAGCCAAATGCGTCGCCGCGCGTTTCTGCGAAATCCGCGCGATTCGGAGCGTCGAGAAGCGGATTTTTTCACGGTTTTTCTCTCCCGAAAGTGCACAGAGTTCTCGGTTCGATTTATTCCCCGTTCCCCGGCTCCCATCCCTGACTGTCTTCTTAGGCTGGTTTTATAACTCTTCCGTGACCTGTTGCTTTGCACGAAACATTGCCGGCTTCATTACGACGATGCAAATGATTATAGACTTAAAGCAACTTTAAAATTTTCACGGATGTTTAAACGTTTGTACATTTCCATTTTAGAAAAAATAGGAAATAGACATATCCAAATATAGTTTTATTACGGTTTTTATTTAAATATCGATGAAAATGTAACAATCACGTTAAGTTCGTAATTATTCACAGCACTGTAGATGGCCTCCTTTAGCTGAGACACCCTGTATATTTAAAAAAGGAACTTAATAAAATATTGTATTTGTATATCTCTATAATGAAAATAATAGAAAATAGAAATATACAAATATATTTTGTTGAGTTTTTGTTTAGGTATCGGTAACAATGTAAAAATTACTTTGAGTCTATGATTGTTCACACCACTATATTATTATATTTCTTCTTACAGCAAATACTCACATTATCGCTATTTTATGTAAACAAGTTTGATACTGTGAAAATGTTTCTGGAACATAATATAAAAATTTCGTAAATTTCAAAGTAATGCAAGTATTTCTAAATTCTTTTTACGTCCTCAATGCTCTGTATAATGACTATCCATTTTCGTTATAAATGGAGAAAATGTGCAGACCAGTGATTTCCATGTACAGTGATCTTATGACGTAAGATCGGGAACAATTAATTTCATAGCCGATCGAAGGATCTGTTACTTTTCGAAGTGAACTCGGGTGGAACGTCTGCGCGGGAGATTTGATAAATTAGAACGCGATCTCCATTCCAGGGTTTAGCTTAATCGGATTTCGGATTGATTGCTGCCTAATGCTTGCCCTTTCGCTACACTTAATTGCCATTCCCTTCGACCGATCCCGCTTTAGCGGTAATAATTTATGTCGTTAATTAGAACTGCGAATCTTCCGACTTTCAATTTACGTACCAGTGGCATCGTATTACCTGCAAAAAATGAAATAACCAATTTTTCCAGCTGATAGAAATGCAAATAAAATCTCCTATTAAGTTGAAAGTTTTATTATATATTCTTCGAAAAACCAGTTTATATCATTAGTTATTTTGTATCTAGCCTGATCAAAAAGCAGACAAAGACAGTATACTTCAAATTAAATCGCAAGCTTTATTATATTTTTCTACGAGCTAGTTTATATTATTAACTATTTGTATCAAGCCTAATTGGAAGATTAAACAAAAGATTGGGGCATGAAAATATCGCATCGATAATTTTCGATAATATTAATCGGCTACCGAGGCTATCGTTATGTGGATAATTAAATTCGGAAATTCCATAATTGTTTACAACGTCACGTGTGCGCCGCAACACACACCAATTAACAACGGGATATTCTAAATTACACGAAATCCAGATAACAGTTACTGTTTCGAGCATTTGCGCACTTCGCTTAGCAGAATTAAGGTGCCATTTATTTCGCCTAAATGTGAGCACACTTTACAAAAAGCGAATTATAAATTACAGCAATTTTTAATGATCGTTTTTATTCACTTTTAAATCCATTTCAAGTCAATCTGAAATCTTTCAATTTACGATAAAATGACATTTGTTCAGAATAAAATACCAAAATTCAACGATTATCTAATATCGAACCGTATATTATATCCGTCCGAATAATCACGGATTACACTAAATTCCGTGCAATTAACGGACGCATCAATATTTCGGGGATTTTTACGCTGAACATTGAACGAGCGAAATTGGACAATTATTTGTCGTTGACTCGCGTGTTCGAACAAAGACGGAATATTCTGAATGAAATGAAATTAACAGAACCGTCATTATTTCGGGCGTTTTCCGTGACTCGGCTCCCAATGCTGGAATTTCAGAGTTAGTTTCGATGCTGGAGTTGCGAAGAGAGACAGGGTTAGAGAGCGCATGAACGAAATAAAATCACGTAAACTCGGTCGGCCCGCCATTCGGCCGGGGTTTCGTACTTAAAAACTCATTAACGAGGTCAAAGAAAAATTTTCAACTCACCCGCGTTCCGCAACACCGGCCGAGCGTCCTTTCCGCCGCGTAATTCTTGTCGACTAGACGAAAAATCGAAATTACACCGCTGATTAGCCCCGTCCACGGGATCCACCGTCCGGAACCTTTTTACACACCACTCTCTCTTGCTCTCTTTTTCTGCCCCGAGTCATTTAGGCACTCACCCGCGATACATTTATCCTAGCTAAACTCCGTTTGGCTCTATAACGACGAGTCAAGATGAAAATCTTCCTTCTTCTAGCTTTACGTTCGGTACAGATTAATTTTTAATACGTTGTCCGATGGCAGCGAAAATTACCATAGCAAAAATTACCATACCATAAGAGAAATGTACAAGAGAGTAGCAAGAGTTGAACTAGTGCAAGATCTAAGTAAGTTACTCTTTTAATTGACACGTTAACAAACGAAGTGAGTGATGATCTAAGTGATTAGTTCAATGGAATAATAATATCGAAAATGTAGATGAGAGTAGCAGAAGTTAGGCCAGTGCAAAATTTGGCAATTATTGTAGTTCGAATCCACATATTAATAAGGTAAGCGAAAATCGAAGTGAATTGCTCGATGCAACGAAAATTGAAAAGTTAGAATGCAAAAGTTAGATCAGTGGAAAATTTGAGCAATTGTTGCGCTTTTAATTTACATATTAATGAAGTGAGTGGGGTCGAGTAATTTAATTTCAGCTAAAACGGATATCTACTTTTTAATGAGGAACACTTTTCCTGTTTCCATGATGTTGGGAATAATTACATTATAATACTCATCACTTTAAAATGATGGTCTCACACAGATGGTTAGTACAAAATTAGCATAATGTAATTATATTTAGCACGGCTAATGTTTAGCAACATTTTTACAATTAAGAGAAATGACAGTAAACTGCAGAACTTCAGGATGTCTTTACTGCAGAACTCATTAAACTTCATTAAATTATTATTTGGAGTTTACATAATTACCAGTAATTCTGTTCCCACTGTGTACAGGTAGATCTGTTTGTGTTGCAGTGAAAATCAATGAAATGTATTTTACATTGCTAATTTATATGAACATACTGAAATGCATGCATTTTATCTCATATTGTAAATGTAAATAAGGGTACCATATGAAATACATTCTCTCTGGCTAATTTAAAAGTCAAACTAAAAAGATTCCCTTGCAAAGCGATACTAAAAAGATATATTTCTCATTGTGAGCTTAAATGGAGACACAAAAACATATATTCCTCATTTTCAGCTTAAATGAAAACACTAGAAATATGTGTTTCTCATTGCCAGACTAAAACAAACCACTAAGAAGATGATCCCCTGTAATAAGGTTTTTAAATACGAAAAAATAAGTCTTTAAGGAATCTCAGTTACCACACACACACACACGCACACACACACACACGCACACACACACACACGCACACACACACACACGCACACACACACACACGCACACACACACACACGCACACACACACACACGCACACACACACACACGCACACACACACACACGCACACACACACACACGCACACACACACACACGCACACACACACACACGCACACACACACACACGCACACACACACACACGCACACACACACACACGCACACACACACACACGCACACACACACACACGCACACACACACACACGCACACACACACACACGCACACACACACACACGCACACACACACACACGCACACACACACACACGCACACACACACACACGCACACACACACACACGCACACACACACACACGCACACACACACACACGCACACACACACACACGCACACACACACACACGCACACACACACACACGCACACACACACACACGCACACACACACACACGCACACACACACACACGCACACACACACACACGCACACACACACACACGCACACACACACACACGCACACACACACACACGCACACACACACACACGCACACACACACACACGCACACACACACACACGCACACACACACACACGCACACACACACACACGCACACACACACACACGCACACACACACACACGCACACACACACACACGCACACACACACACACGCACACACACACACACGCACACACACACACACGCACACACACACACACGCACACACACACACACGCACACACACACACACGCACACACACACACACGCACACACACACACACGCACACACACACACACGCACACACACACACACGCACACACACACACACGCACACACACACACACGCACACACACACACACGCACACACACACACACGCACACACACACACACGCACACACACACACACGCACACACACACACACGCACACACACACACACGCACACACACACACACATGAGTCAGTTAAAAATATAGAATCAATTATATTGAAACTGCTCAATTTACTTACTCTAACTATTGCTAAAACTGTTTCTAAAAACTTACTACGACCAGATCTTGAAAAACAAAGCTGATGACATATATAGCTGGGTACATACTATATACAAAAAGCACATTGGACAACTATTATAACCATTGCTGATTCTGATCACTTCCACCAAAAGACAAACTACAAACCTCAACATCTAATTCTACTACACCAACTTTTACCAAATCGCGATGTAATAAATTAACTCCTCAAAACATGGTCCTAGAGCCTTTAAGGTCGATCCGTCAAGGAATGGCCCTCTATCCTAACTTCGAAATCTGTCATCAACTCTCGTACTTAGCTTCTAAATCTTCAATATTAATAAAATGTTCAGATTTAACCTGTCGGAACTACTCTGACTCGAAATGAATACCTCAAAATTGAATTTTCACCTGACGATTTCCAAAGCTGAACCACGAACGTCACTTGAACACTGCCCTCCAATACATTAGTCATTTCGATACTAAATTACCGATACTAAATCTCTAGGATCTTCGGCGTTGGATCCACAAAGTTGACCAGCACTGTTTAGCTTCCTATTTTAAACAAACAATGCCAACTGGGCGAGGGCACAGGTCGATCGGCCACATTATTACGCTCAATCGAGGCGAACGTTCACGTCCGTTTAAATAGTCCGCTCGAAAAGCGGCCGCCTTATCTCGCGGCCAGATAACTTGTACACAAGGAACGAATGTCAATCACGATAATTCATAACTGGCGCGTACGGGAATTGCACGCTTCCGTGTGCGGCTCACCTTCGACGGTTCCGCAGACGGTAACACGTCACGGATGTGATTCCCTCGTTTTCCGCGGCGTGCACGGTCGATCGAGCCGATCGAATATTCAACAAATTCCATTTACAACCGAACGGATCGCGACCACGCGAGAACCAGTCGGGAAACGTGCCTCCGATCGTCTAAACACGTCGAAACTTACAAGCGCGAAAAATCCCGCGGTTTTTTCCACTCCGAGCACAAGTCTAACGCCGGGATCAAGCTTCTCAACTTTATTTTTTCATTGTTTTGTATTAGTTCCGCGATGATCTCTGTGATTTTTGGAAATTATACGAGCCGAGAGAAAATTCTGTTATTTCTGATTATTTTATTGGGATTTAGTTTACCCTGAGTGGGCTGATATTGTACTTGAGTATTGCGTCATAAGGTGAGTTGGAGCGAAATTTGTACTTTTGTCTTTCCGATGGCACCTTTCATTGTGCGAGACTTCGAATGAGTTTTCTGTAATTATTTGTACGATTCCGCAGTATTGCGTATTGAGAAAATTGTTATTTAAGGTCATTTCGTTTTCTTCCGATACTTCGTATTTGAATTTGAATATGCCGCCATGAATAGTTGAAGGGAGCGTTTGTGTTTCTTTCTTTCCGGCAACATTTTCTATTTGCTTCTTAACTAATCTTTTCAAATTATTCTCCGTGTTATTTTTCTTACAATATATCATCATTTAATTGGTGAAATAATGTTATTCAGATAATCTAAATCTGATTTGTGTCATACAACCGACATGATGTATTATTCATTTTTACATTTAATATTTATATCGCGTTTCTAAATTAATTAATGTTAAATACTGGAAGAATTAAAAACAAAACCCTGAACTGACAGCGTTAAGAAAAAATACCAAGCAATGCTATCTAAAAAATAAATATATACTGTCAACGGCTTCCATAATGATACCCTCTCTCAACTTTCAGATAACAAACCAATTGAAAATGTCGCCAAACAAAGGCAACAATTATTTCGTTTCTTTCAAGCTACTTTTCCAATTGCTACTATCACTCTTCAATTAAATAACACATTGCAGACGTTCGATAAAACTGATCTACCTATTCCCACCGAAATGCCAAAAATTCTTCACAAACCTCGTAATTATTTTCAAAATTGTCTATTACCCGAACACCTGCACAGTAATACGTTTCTAATAAATAAATAAATAAATATATATATATATATATATATATATATATATATCTAAATCACAAAATAAAAATTCTACTCCAGCATTTCTGACAAAAATTCTCCTGCGCTAATACAAATGCGCCCTGCTAATTGCAAAAACCAAACAAAATTACTGAATTAATCAGCCAAATAAAAATCGCTCGCAAACATCCGCCAGTCGTTCTGCAATCGGCCAGCTAATTCACGAGCTCAAGAATCCCATATCCAATTATTCGAAACCCCTCCCAACAGAATTAATCAACCGAAACCGGCTTCCAATAACATCCATAATTTTTCCCATTGTTTACCTCTTGAAAGGGCAACAAAGCCACGTCACGGAATGTTTATCCGGTAGCAAAGTAACCCAGTGATTTCACGGGAACCGGAACAGCCTCCGGGCCTCCATGTTACAATGCACCACCCCCGAACCACCCTGGAACAACCCCGGAACCACCCCCACTCCGTTCCCCCTCACGCGTGTCCAATAACATTCAATAATTCCAGCTCGACACACTGTACGTACGAATCTCGTGTGAGAACGTCGGCGACGAGCTAATCGCCGAGACACAAACAGACGTCGCGCGTCGTCGAACGAGGAGGAACGGTCCGCACAGATCCCCACACCGATCCAGATGAAAAGTCCCCGTGACCCCGGGATTTCGCGAGATTTTCAGATCGTTTCCGCGTTTTCTCTCACCGGTGCACGAGTTGCGTCGCAGCTGCAACGTTCGCGTTCCCGGTTAGCGGAAGTGGGACGAGCGTCGACATATCCGCTCGCAACGACGGCCGGCGTCGGACTGCCATCGGCCGCCACTGTTAAGGGGTTTTATCGGCGGCAGGACTGATCGTCTGACTGCAATGTTTGTACACGCTGCAGTCGGAAAGAACACATCGAGCGCAGTTCCCTCGGAATCGTATTGTTCCTCGGTGCATCTCGATGGACCTATTTGATGTTGTTGCCGCCGAGATGTTTGCGATACGACATGTTTGCGGTGCAGTCGATACCTGCACGGGCTAAACTATTTTTGAAATTCCGTTTATCCGAGATGTTTCTCGATGTTTATCCTGGGATCAGTTTCATTGCAAGCTGTGTACATATGCGATAAAGGAAGATCCTTGGGTTGAAGTGTTTTCAGAGCTACGTTATTTTTCGATGTCGTGTGCATTAACGCTTTAATGGCCGTTCACACAACACGATGCTTTAATAATTATGTAGATGATTGCTTTTAAGAATTATCACACAAAAAGAAATATTATCTAATATTATATACAAAATATAATTTATATTATATATACAATATAATATATATATATAAAAATATTATATATATATATAAACACATTAATTTGTATGTGTATACGTGTAATAAATATATATATAAACATTAAATGTGTTGTTATTGTTGTTTTTTTGTTTTTCGTGTACGTTCACACATGTCGAATTATTTCATGAATGTACATAAATATTGTCGGCCTCTGGCGACGTTTGACTGCGTAGGCGTGCGGTCATTAAAATGTTAAGGTACATTTTGAAAAATTCGGAAATCGTTTTGGAAATTGTGTTGTTGTTGGGTACTTTTGGATGCAGGAGTTCGATACCAGAGGTCCACGATAAGACACGTTTGCCGAAAAGCGCACCGGCTAAACTATATTTAGAATTTTGTTTATTCTAGGTGTACCTAGATGCACAACTGTTTGATATCGTTAATCGGCTCGCTTTTCTCGTAAATTATGTACATATACGATCAAGGAGGATCCTTGGGTTGGAGTCTTTTCAGCGGTACGGTATTTTTAGATTGTTTAGAATGCGCACCTTTAGTATCGTCATCTGTAAGACATTTATCCCGAGATAAATGCGGATGGTTACTTCACTTCGCGGTTTCTGAAACAATTTCTATATTCGACAAACGAACAAGTTTCCACGATTTTCCTGATAAGGGAATACCAGTTACATATTGATGCATTACTTCCACATAGTCTCGCACGGTACGTTAATTAACGTACTTTGACTTGCGGTCAATTAAAACGCGGCCTCCAAACGGTTATCAGCGGACAAACAAACATTGCACCATTAAACTATTATGCAACCATAAACGTATGGAAACAATAATATTTTTCTACATCCGTGGCCAAGTTCTTTAACCCTGTCAGATCAAAATATCAAATATAGTGAACTGATCCGCGATTCAACCGTAAAGTGACGTTTATATCTGAAAAATTCCGAAAGAACGATCGATCGACTAATCATTTTTATGAATTTTTCAACAAAGACACTGCGTTCCAATTCAGATTTTCCGGCAAACCCGCAGGAATTCCGGGGTTAACCGAATCTTTGCTCGATCGAAATCGACCGGCGAAACTCGATTATTCGGCACGCCGCGTTCATCACCGCTCCCGCATTTTCCGAAACGATAGAACGCTGAGAGTCAGCGGTTATCGTTTTAATTTAAAACAAAAAAAAAACGCGGAAGAAGAAGCGGGGACACACAATTTCCCGGGACGAACGTCGTCTGCAAATATCAGAGGGGCGAGAATGGAATCGAGCCCGGCTCATAGATTGCAATTCGTTCGGAAATTTTAATGCGGGAAAAACGGATCGAACCAAAACGAACTGCTGATACCATTTCCGACGTGCGTTTTTTTCCCCCCACGCGTTCCATTTCTCCTTTTTCGTTTAGCCAGTTCGATCAGTGTTTGACACCCTGAATACCCTGTATCGAACAGCTCCCCGATTCCTGTTAGCTATTGGGGAGGGGGGAGGGGTTGATGGTAATGATAGACAGCGACGCCATTGGCGAACACGGGATCGATTTAAAAGTCGACCGAATCAGCCAATCGAACATTTTGTGCTCGCCTTTTTTCGCCCGTTCCGGTGGCTCGTCTTTGAACGCGCCCTCCTCTTTCTCTCGAATGGATTTTTCCCCGACCGATTCGCTCGCCCATGGGAAAAACCATTGACGGCTTTCGTCACACTTCGGGTTTTCTGTTTCCGGCAATGCGCCCGGCTGGATTTACGCTTCCAGAGCTCAGCACCGCTATTGTGATTCACAGTTTACGCTTCTCGGTGCTGTCGACGATTTGCGGATTCGGTGTTCGAGATTCGCGGGAGCTGAAGGTCAAAAATACTGTCCGAAGGTCGAACAGTATTCTCGAAACTGTGTCTACACCAACGATTTAAATAAAAATACGAGAAAAATGTATGCTATATACGTGCCAGCTTGAAAAATAAAAACGGAATCTTTAAACGACGAGATATCATGAAATACATTCCTCGTTGCTAGTTTAAATGGAGATACTATTCGAAATGTATTCCATATTGCCAGTTTAAAAATGTGACTTTGCAGATAGTCCCTTGCAATGGTCTTCGAATAAAGATATTAAATAAATATTCCCCATTTTTTTTTTTAAACGAAGCTACTATAAAAAATATATCCTATGCTGACAATTTAAAAATGAAGTTCTAAAAATGGTCCCGTTTCGATTGTTTTCGAATAGAAGGTACATCAAAATATTGTCATCATTGTCAGCTTAAAAATGTGACTTTGCAAATAGTCTTTTGTTATGGTTTTCGAATAAAGATATTAAATAAATATTCCCCATTTTTTTTTTTAAACGAAGCTACTATAAAAAATATATCCTATGCTGACAATTTAAAAATGAAGTTCTAAAAATGGTCCCGTTTCGATTGTTTTCGAATAGAAGGTACATCAAAATATTGTCATCATTGTCAGCTTAAAAATGTGACTTTGCAAATAGTCTTTTGTTATGGTTTTCGAATAAAGATATTAAATAAATATTCCCCATTTTTTTTTTTAAACGAAGCTACTATAAAAAATATATCCTATGCTGACAATTTAAAAATGAAGTTCTAAAAATGGTCCCGTTTCGATTGTTTTCGAATAGAAGGTACATCAAAATATTGTCATCATTGTCAGCTTAAAAATGTGACTTTGCAAATAGTCTTTTGTTATGGTTTTCGAATAAAGATATTAAATAAATATTCCCCATTTTTTTTTTTAAACGAAGCTACTATAAAAAATATATCCTATGCTGACAATTTAAAAATGAAGTTCTAAAAATGGTCCCGTTTCGATTGTTTTCGAATAGAAGGTACATCAAAATATTGTCATCATTGTCAGCTTAAAAATGTGACTTTGCAAATAGTCTTTTGTTATGGTTTTCGAATAAAGATATTAAATAAATATTCCCCATTTTTTTTTTTAAACGAAGCTACTATAAAAAATATATCCTATGCTGACAATTTAAAAATGAAGTTCTAAAAATGGTCCCGTTTCGATTGTTTTCGAATAGAAGGTACATCAAAATATTGTCATCATTGTCAGCTTAAAAATGTGACTTTGCAAATAGTCTTTTGTTATGGTTTTCGAATAAAGATATTAAATAAATATTCCCCATTTTTTTTTTTAAACGAAGCTACTATAAAAAATATATCCTATGCTGACAATTTAAAAATGAAGTTCTAAAAATGGTCCCGTTTCGATTGTTTTCGAATAGAAGGTACATCAAAATATTGTCATCATTGTCAGCTTAAAAATGTGACTTTGCAAATAGTCTTTTGTTATGGTTTTCGAATAAAGATATTAAATAAATATTCCCCATTTTTTTTTTTAAACGAAGCTACTATAAAAAATATATCCTATGCTGACAATTTAAAAATGAAGTTCTAAAAATGGTCCCGTTTCGATTGTTTTCGAATAGAAGGTACATCAAAATATTGTCATCATTGTCAGCTTAAAAATGTGACTTTGCAAATAGTCTTTTGTTATGGTTTTCGAATAAAGATATTAAATAAATATTCCCCATTTTTTTTTTTAAACGAAGCTACTATAAAAAATATATCCTATGCTGACAATTTAAAAATGAAGTTCTAAAAATGGTCCCGTTTCGATTGTTTTCGAATAGAAGGTACATCAAAATATTGTCATCATTGTCAGCTTAAAAATGTGACTTTGCAAATAGTCTTTTGTTATGGTTTTCGAATAAAGATATTAAATAAATATTCCCCATTTTTTTTTTTAAACGAAGCTACTATAAAAAATATATCCTATGCTGACAATTTAAAAATGAAGTTCTAAAAATGGTCCCGTTTCGATTGTTTTCGAATAGAAGGTACATCAAAATATTGTCATCATTGTCAGCTTAAAAATGTGACTTTGCAAATAGTCTTTTGTTATGGTTTTCGAATAAAGATATTAAATAAATATTCCCCATTTTTTTTTTTAAACGAAGCTACTATAAAAAATATATCCTATGCTGACAATTTAAAAATGAAGTTCTAAAAATGGTCCCGTTTCGATTGTTTTCGAATAGAAGGTACATCAAAATATTGTCATCATTGTCAGCTTAAAAATGTGACTTTGCAAATAGTCTTTTGTTATGGTTTTCGAATAAAGATATTAAATAAATATTCCCCATTTTTTTTTTTAAACGAAGCTACTATAAAAAATATATCCTATGCTGACAATTTAAAAATGAAGTTCTAAAAATGGTCCCGTTTCGATTGTTTTCGAATAGAAGGTACATCAAAATATTGTCATCATTGTCAGCTTAAAAATGTGACTTTGCAAATAGTCTTTTGTTATGGTTTTCGAATAAAGATATTAAATAAATATTCCCCATTTTTTTTTTTAAACGAAGCTACTATAAAAAATATATCCTATGCTGACAATTTAAAAATGAAGTTCTAAAAATGGTCCCGTTTCGATTGTTTTCGAACAGGAAGCACAACAAAATATTGTCTTCATCGCCGGTTCGAAAATGAAGCTCG